ATAATCATTCTTATCAGCCCTATATTCAAATGTTTTTCTTCTGGTCACATGGTAAGGCTAAATATCTTGTAGTGTATTCACAATGCTGTATCTTCATCTACTGCCAAATGTAAGGGGAAGATGGCAGATGGCAAGACTTTATTATGCAGAAGAAAGAAACAACCACATGGAGTGGCAGAGCCAGATACAGTAACAAAACAGCCCGGATGTATTACAGCAATGTATTCGTGATCAGAGCGGTTGAAATGAGGTGTGCGTATACCCACATACTCACGCTGACTATGATGAAGGGGAGAGATTATGTAGCAGAGCTGTAATGGTAATCTGTGCTGCAGTGAGGGGTTGTGCTGCCGTAGATAGAGGACACACATGCATTTCTGACCTACTCTTTCCTGCCGTAAAATTACACAGCAGTAAATGGGCTGAGGGCTTTCGCTGAAGCATGCTAGCACTTACAGTGATGGAGGCCACACTCTCAAAACATGCTGACATATGCCATGGGTTTGTGATTCATATTTTAATCATGGGGTGTAATGTATCCAAGCTGACCCAGTCATTCATAATTCCAAACAAAAACACAACATGCTGTACTTTAGAGCCTTCTCTTTAAGTGCATTGCTCATGTAATCATAATTGCTTAGTATTTCTTATAGTTTGGGATTCCCTCAAGCTGACATGGATTTGACATATTAATCAAGTTCTCCAGCATGATTTGAGAATTTTGTTTTGAATATTTTGTGCTTGAGATTTCATATGATCAGTGTCACTAATTTGCTTATTTGAGTAGAAATAGAGCAGAATCTTTTATATTTATTGATATATTTTGTCAACATTTATTTCATTTGGTACAGGGCTGGTATAGTTAGCTAAAACTAAAAAAGCATTCATTACTTATTATAAGTATACGTTTTGTTTTCTCCAGTTAACATTTATTTTATTTCAGACACCTATAATACTAAAATAACACTTAGTGGGGTAAGTTGTCACATTGGAAACCTTTACTGTAGCCCGGTCTTCCATATGACTGAAACCACTTGAATGACATACTGTACCTTTCATGGTAGATTTTAAATTTTCCTAACAGAAAATTACCTTCACAAAGCTTTAAATGATTTGTTTGTATTGCCACCGGGAGTAAAGCACAGTTGATTATAACTTATTTTACTGACATTTAAAGTCTGCGTTGTTTGTGGCAAAATTAATCAGGACAAGGATTTAATGCTCAAAAAAAGAAAGACAAAAATACAGCTTATTGGTGTTGATTTTCCATAATCTACAGTAGGATTTTCTCTTTTTTTCTGTTTTGTGCAGCTTTGCGTGTGTCTGAGAGACAGTGGTTTGGGGTCCGTTACATAATGGGAAATATTTCACAGTGATTGTACATCCCATAAACAGATCAGATCACCTCATACGACCTGTCTTCAGTCAACTCATGAAGGTCAGTGTCAGACGAGGTGAAATGTTTTAGTCCGGTTCTCTATTGATGTTTAAAGCTTAAATGATTGTTATGCTGGTAACTAAGGGATGCACTAAGGCTTCTGAATGTAAATAAGGCGCATGAGCAGAATGCAAAACAGAGGCAAAACACCCCGGCATGTGAAAAGATGATGAATGAGATCCAGGTATATCATGTTCATATATATGTTCAATATAGGCTATAATATAATGAAAATATTACGTATGCTCTGAGGTAATCCATTATTTACCTCAATAATGGGCTTAAGGGCCTCACCTCAGTTGTGGTACATGCTAATTTCATGTGACAGAAAGGAAATATAAATGAAATAAAGCCATCAGAATAAGTTCCGACACTAACTGACCAAAAAGTAAAACTTATTGGCTGATGCAGATAATTAATAATGCAAAATCAAATTCATGCCTTGGCGCCCCCTGTTGGAGAACAAACTACAGTAATGCATTTACATTGAAAAAGGCATAAAACACAGAACTCATTAAAACATACAGAAATATAGAGAATTTATGATGTTGTAAAAATAACACAACAAGAATAAAAATTCGATTATTCTCAATTTTTATGTGAAACCCAAAAACTGATCCAAGACCAAAAATCGTACTGGTGTAACACTTCTTACTCCTATTTATAATGAGCATATGTAATAAACATAATGTGAATTAATAATCATGAATAATAGATAAAATCACCTGAAAATAACAAATGTAAAAATTCAAAAGTGGTGCATAAGATGGCCTTTCAAATGAAGGCAGTCTTCTCAGCTTCTCAAAATAATATACATTGACACAATGTGGTCTGTCCATCGGCACTAGAAAAAAATGGATAAAGCTCTTTTGGTCCAGCTAAATTAATAAATAACTCCCTTTCATTCATGTTTGTATCTGTTTATGAAAAGATGTCTGGACGTTGCAAAGTTCATTCTGGTGTTATTTAGTTTTGTTGTGGTGAAATAAACACATTTCATCCTCCCAATAACCCTTGGACACTCTCTTCACATTGTATCCACAATCCAGACAATGTGGCGAGATTCAAACGCTTGCCGGAGGAAAATTAAATTTTTTCCCCCTCTTGTTCCAGCCACAAGCTGTCCTGTTCCATCTCCAGTCCAGGCCTGGCTTACAGAACGTTCAGAGATAATCCAGAAAAAACACAATCGAGCAAAATAGTTACACCCAGTTTTTTTTAGACTATACTTCTTTATTCTGTTCCTTACAGATTCATATCTGCTTATGACATAAAACAGATAAAAAGAACATCCATTTCCCAAAAGTCCATGTGTGTGTGTGTGTTTCAGCACAGGATTTCACTGAGATCACTACTGTAATCAGTCAGAGCCTCATAAGCTCTGATTGGGTGCGGTTCATCTCAAAGCACATTTTACACTAGTCTTTCCCTATGTCTTTCACTATGTCACTAATGAATGAAATTAATCATTATATAACAAGTATGCAATTTTAAATACACAAAGCAACCAAATGTCATGCCCAAAAATAAAAAAAAATATTGAATAATTTACCCTCATGTCTTTCTAAACCTGTATGAGTTTCTTTCTTCTGTTGAGCACAAAAGATGTTGGTACCTATAAACAGCTGACGGTAGCCATTGACCTCCATAATATTTTTTCCATTACTATGGAAGTCAGTAGCTACCAGCAACTTTTTGAACATTCTTCGAAATATCTTCTTTTGTGCACAACAGACGAAAGAAACTCACACAGGTTTGGAACAATTTAATGGTGAGTAAATGATGACAGAATTTTCATTTTTGGGTGAACTATAACCTTTAAATGTCATTGTACAAACATAGCAGTAGTGGAATACAGTACATAAGATGGAAAAGGTTTGCATACGCTTTATTCTTTCATAACACCTTCAACTTATAAAGAACATTCAGCGATACCACATTTATGGCAATTATACAAATTCATCGCCATAGAACATTACAATGGAGTATATTACAAAATCTGCGCCACGCTCACAGATTTTAAAAGTCATTCCCAAGGCACTGGCCAATTAACATACATTTGGAAGAACAATACTGATTAATGTGCATGCTTTAATATCCCGTTTTTACTTCACTGCTTTGTACAGTTGTGCACATGATGTATGCATTTGACTTTGGCCAAAAATACTCAAAAATGTGCTGGTCATGTGAAGACCATGTCAGAATATTAAGACGTCGTTTGTCACTTATTTTTCCCTCTCAGGGAGAGAACAAAACAATTCTACAAATGAATTACAATTGGTCTCTCACTAAAGAGGCATTTGATACATATAAAAGGCACTAATCTAAGATATATCAAGCCATTTACTGAAAACAAAGTATATAAAATTAATTCGCTTTAAAAAACAAGAGGCAACCAATAAAAGCATACAGTATGTGCTTAAACGTAAACATTTAAACCTAAAATGGCAAAGTGATCCTTTGCATAGTCTGTTGCATTTTTATTACTACTATTAATATTTTTAGGCAACACCAAGAGCTATTGTTTCACTCATTTGTCAGCTCAATTTGATTTAAAAAAACAAACAATACAAACCATTACACAAATTGATTGACTGATTGCTACTGTCTGTAAATTATCAAAGCAAACTGCTAAAAAGTCTATAAACACTCATAAGACAATACACACAATACAAACTCAAATAGTACCTCTATCATGTGAGGTACAAATTCAACATACTCAAGAGCTAAATGAAAATACTAAATATATACCGTACATGTAAAGATAAAGCAATGCACTGCAAGATTACTTTGTAAGTGGTACTTCCTAGTAAAACATTTGTACCTTTGAGAGATCGATAGTCTTTGATTACTTTGGAAAAGTTGTCAGTGCAAGACAAAAGGCACTTGGTGGTTTCAATCCTTCGGTGTACATCTGCCAACATTCACAGCTTTAGATATAGTCAGAATTGAAAAAAGAATTGCTTTGGACATATCTGAAGAATACGACGAGCGTCGTTGGGATAACGTAAGGATGGTGAGAGAAGATGGAGAAGAGAGAAGTAAACAAACCGCTTTAGAGGGTCTAGGAAGTCTAGAGCTCAAGAAAGCAGCACAGACTTTGGTCGCGTGCAGGAGAAAAGCCATGAACGGGTCTGAGAAGAATTCCAAGGTTTTACAAAAAGCTCGGTTTGGGGAGTGAGGTCTGTGAAGATTTGTGGTCTGTGGCATTCAGGAAGGTGGTTGAAACAGAGCTGGTGTAATTTGCACTTCTGTCAGTGGCTAAACTGAGGCACTATTGAGAAAGCTACTACTGACAGGCCGACGCTACCCTGTTGAAAAAACCAGCATATGCTGGTTAGCAAAACATACCTAACCAGCATATGCTGTTTTTTTCAACAGTGTAAGCTCTTAAACTAACAGTTAAACGGACAGTTCATCCTAAAAAGATCATTCTGCATGACTTTCTTTATTCTGCAGAACACCAACGATATTTTGTCGATATAATGAAAGCCAGTGGGGTCTAATGTTGTTTTGGACTCCATAGAGTGCAACAGTTGGGTTCCAGAAGTAAAAACTCCATTCATTTTCTCCATAGGGAAACTGATTTTTAACTATAACTTATAAACCTTTAAAGACAGAACTGTTGTGAGCTTTGAGGTTAATCGATAATATACATTTTGTTGAAGCCATCTGTTCACATTATTTCAACTCATTTTTAGAATAATTATATTTTTATGGCGAAAAGCTGCATGAATCTGATACAAAAAATTCCACTGCAAAGGATGTAATCAGTTCAATAAACATAAAATATATTGTTTCTGTAGATATAATCAAAAACTTTAAATGGATAGTTTTAAATTTCACTATCAATTTTAATTTGATGCTTCGTGGGATTGTAGTTCTTTTCCTCACAAAAGCTGTTAAGTACAGTCTTGTGTCTTTTTGACTGATTTCCCCATATTTTTTGCTTCAAATAAAAGTTTGAAGCAAAATACTTCCAGAACTAACTCTGGTGAAAAAGTGGGCGGGCACTAATGTACTTAAATGACTTTCATTGGATGGTCGAAAACAGCTGAAACATTCTAAATATCTTCTTTTGAGTACCACAGAAGAACTAAAGCCATACACTAAACGAATTTTCATTTTCCATTTAACAGTAAACCATTTCCAAGTTTAGAAATAATAGATAGAAAATGTACCGTGGAACCTAGGATAGACTGTTTTAATTTGACCTGAATGAAAACAAGCCTGTGAGGGATAGACGTACACTCCATTTCATTTGTGTCAAATGTAATATGCCGTCTACTCTGACTAAGATCCATAAGTAATAACAACAGGCTGGTGATTTCACTGTGGGGTGAGATAAGCTTCCCTTATGGATATTTTGTGCAGAACACTTTGGCTTGATATCCTTTAGATAAAATCCATGCACGTCTAGTCAGGCAAATCTGCCCATGGACAAATTATTTAGCATTTTTTTAAAGTGCAAAGAATTAGTATGTTGAAACCTAAGATGAGCATATAAATAAAATCTGCCTGCTCCATATACAAGCACAGTGCAGGAGCTCCAATGATCCTTCATTACATTTCCTTCATTGTAACACGAGTACCATATTGCATATAATATTCAACAGTTCTTTGACCCTTAACCTCTGATCCATGGACTTTGTTTATTTGGCACAGATTCAGAAGGTCCGGGTTTTGGTCCAGTACTGTATATCAGGTTGGAGTTGGGAATGGGAATTTGTGCAGTTTCAGGCTGTCCGTTGATGCACTGGCATGGGCTCACCAGCGCCCACTCACACTGACAATGTCTGTGTGGAACTGGCGTGGCAGTCGACCGCTGGCGCCCCCTTCTAGGAATGATGAGCGGATGTTGGGCGGCTCAAAGAGCTTCGTTCGGTTCTTGTTCAGCTCTGTCAAAACAAAAAAAGGGCTTAAATATCGCATACATTCATGTTAACATCACAGTAAAATGGAAGTAGTGAAAGATCTCTTCTTCCATATTGCGAATTAAAAGGTCAAAACATTTTTAAAATACGAAACAAATGCATGTATGAATCAACTGCTCCTTATCTAAGATTATACCAAACTACTGATATTGATTTGGAAACCTGAAACCTTCCATCGAGTTAGCAGTTCCATCGTCCTGAAATCAGTGGATATTTTGAAGCTCAAGATATTTTCATGTTCTACGACATAAAATACATCAGTCCCCCTTGTGATTTTTGTACCTTTTTTTTTGTTACCATTTCTTGAAAAAGGCGGTTGCTAACAAGTGGCTAAATGAGACTAAAGAGGTTGTCAGGGACATAAATGTCTCATGCCAAACTCATCTTCTCACTAGTCGACTTTTACAGCCTCACTTGGGAAATGTTTTTAAATAAAGACTAAAAGAGTTGTTTTAAGCTTAATGGTGTTACGTTGAAGTCATGTGACGGTGGTGTAGATCATTTATAGCCTACATTTAGCTTTTTACCTCTGGTATTGTATTTAGGCTTCAAAAATTCATAAAAGTTGTGTTAATTTGAGGATCTCATCATGATGAAAAAAATGTGTTCGAATAATAAAAGTTGGACAAAAATTCATCACGGAGATGTCTATTTGACGTAGCGCTGTCAAAATTGCTGAAAAACTAAATTCGAATTTTGTACTTAAATATGATCAAAATTCGAATTATATTCGAATTTAAAATGCATAATTTCAGTTAGGGTGAAGAAAAGCTTTTGCCTTTTCTCCTGAGGCCACAAGAGGGCGCATCAAGCAAAATATTACTAATGCACATTTATTCAAAGCATAAGATAACATGACTGTGAAAAAAGTGCATAATGTTTAAAATAATGTTTATAAACCAATTATAATTAAGTTGCTTAAACAACTATAAACAAAACAGCATCATGTATGTATGCATAGTTTAATACAAAGGGCGGAAAACCAATCACACAGAGTACATTTTTCGTTTAAAAACGTGAGTTGCAGTGGGATGGGGGAAAAAAACCCGCCATAAAGTCTCGAGATGTTTTTTTCAAAGTTGAAATTGCATTAATTTTACATGGCTTTCTAAACATGCGGCTCTTTTGTGCGAGACGTAAGTGCAACGCTGATAGATGTCCTTCTAGAAAATGCGCGAAATATGCGTTCTTTGTGAACGGCTTGGTTTCAGTTTTGATGTAAACAAGATCTTCTCCGCATTGATGTTCTCTTTTTCCTCAATATTTTAATGAGCAACGCAGCAGCGCCGCATCTAGTGGCTTCAACTGGACAGGCTAACAAAAACATTATAATGCAACGACACTTACATCGTCATCGCATCTCGTGCGCCACTGATAAGGCTGCCTCCTTAACACACACCTAAAATTCGAATGCAACGTTTTTGCATTCGAATGTGGATTTTTATTTCAAATTCGACGAATATTCAAAATTCGAAATTTTTTTGGACAGCCCGAATTTGACGTCTGCATTTACATCTGCAAGACGTATTTTTTAGTGTTTGCTCATCTGCAATACGTCTTTAGGACATTTCCTATCAGATGTCAAATAGACGTTTAGAAGAGGTCTTTCAGATGTTTATGATTTAGAATGTATGTAAAACTGACATCTTAAAGACGTCTATCAGATGTTTGTACACAGCAGATGCTTTCTTGATGAAGCGATCTTTAACAGACCTCTAGCAGACGTACGTGTGCTATCTGGGAAGCGGATACAACATAAAAATACACAATACATACAAATATTGGGTATAGCAATGCATTTTTTAAATATTTTTCTTTTTAAATCAATACTTTTCAGTAAAGAATGGATGAAATTTCAACATTTTTCTCATCTCATTTGGATTTTTTCACTCAGCTCCTGCAGTGTGCCTTAAAAATTGGTCTAAATAAGGTATACTGCCTTAAAATGCTGCCTATGTTGACAGCTCACTAGTTTTTTGACAGCTCAGTCTCAGTCTAGGTGGCATTGACAATTCAAATCTTCCCTTGTCCTTCTGTAGAGAACAAAAGGAGGACATTTCTCTGTCTGGGACCAAACTTGCATCAGCCCAGATTACAGTAAATTGTGTCCGAGGTCAGTCAGAGACATAAACACAGGCCTGCGGTCATTTCCTGTCTTCCTCATACCTCTACTCTTAGAATCCCATCCGCACCATAATTTCATTTTTAACAGTGAAAGGTCTACATCAACCTCAGGCATTGTGTTTTATTCTCCAACCACAGGGCTGATAAAACTGGAACAATGTTTTTGCTTTAGTAAATATCCTTGCCAGACTGCAGGAAGTCATTATGGTTATCGAGCAGTGGGTGGTCGAAATATATCAGAGATGTTTGAGATGTCTAATGGCAAAGTTGTCACTTCCACTTGCTGTCATGTGGACAGTCAGTCAACCCTGGCTGGTTATGTAAGTGGAAAGCCAAATCCAATTTCATCTCGGACACCTCAATAAATCATAATCATAATCCCCAAACCTTGCAGCTGTCCAAATTACTAAAAGCTATTAAAAAGGAAAATCTTGCATGGCATGTTGTGTCCATCTGCTATCACGGTTATTGTTCTGTTGGTTGGTATCAAGTTGATATTAAACTTTCTTAAAGAAATGTAACAAGACCAGTCTTTCTGCAGTAAATAGTGACTCAGTTTGGTACCTGAGGGGTGTCTGACTGACAGGTGGCTGTTTTCCAATAATCACATTTGTGTGGGTTTTCTGTGGAAAGTGCTTACGGTAATGCAGTTCTGCGCATGAACAGTCAAATTAACTTCTTGGTATTATTGCACAGTACATCTTCAGTGAATGCACAACAACAATATCAGATCTGTGCATTAGGATCAACCTAACAGACCTGCCGCCTGTCTATTATTATCATTAATATTAACCAAACAACCATATCAATAAAAAATACATTTTAATTAACTTCTTTAATTACCTACTGTTCATATGAAAAAAATAAACAACAAACTTAAAAAGCAACTTGCAAAATAATTAAGAAAAATTTGAAAATGACATGCCTAGTTTTAATGTTATTTGTTAACTTAAATAAATAATAATAATAATAATAATAATAATAATAATAATACATCTGGCTGCCTGTTTTTGATCCTGTCAGTAACATGCTTGTCTCACGCTGGAGTAATTGCAGAAATAAGTGTAATTGAAAAAAAGTGTACAAATTGTTTTAACTATTAATTCTTATTTATTAAGAAAATGAATCCACAAAAAATGAAAGACATGATATCAAGACAGAAACATCACTATATTATTATATAAAACACACTATATTAATGGCACAGCTTAATGGGACATTTATTATAATGGGTATATGTAAACATTGTTTTAAGTTCATGCAAATTAAACATTATAATATTTTTTTAAAAACGATGTCACAAATTTTACTGTAATGTTTTATGGCTATATTTACTCTTTTTATCCCCAGAAATTGATTAAAATATATGTGGGCGCATCAGTTTTGAGTTTTGGTGTCGGTGATACTTGACTTTATTCATATTTCACACTAGAAAAATATATTAAATATACAGTCTTTATATTGTTTTAACATTCATTTGGCGATTCAGTGGCAAACTATAATTATGATTACAAATTGTAATGTTAGGTGTGACTAATCAGGATTTACTACAGAAAAACCTAGCGTAGCGTTAGTTCTAGCAGGTCACGTTAGTCAAGCTCGCATCAGCTGACTCTCAGCTGATCCCCTTCAACCTATGGGAATACGACACCTATCTAAGCATTCATATATAAGGTCCCTCAGTATTATCAGCAGTTTTCGCATTGCTCAATAGCTAATTACCCTCCTCCATCCCCAACTCCTCCTCTGTCAGTCAGGATTCAATCTTCTGATTCTTCGGACTAATTCTAAAATGTGTACATAACATTATTGAACTTTAACGATATCTGCAATACATTTATGTTGGTTCTGTTCTGTTTACCCTGGGGGGGTTATCGCTGCTCTCATCCATGCTAGGCTGCATGGATGCGCAGGGAGTTCTTGCCCAGAAGAGAACCATAACGCCAATCCAAACTGTATGCTAATTGTCAGTCATCTTTGACGATAGTGGTCCTGACAGAAATGTCATTAATACATCAATTTGATCGATTGATGGCACCTATATAATACTATTGTGTTAACCCTAGTAGTTTGGAAGGGAACTGACCTGAGATGGCCAGCAGCATTTTCCTGCGGGCTCCGAATGTAGTAATGCCGAGCTCTTTCAGGTCCTGATCGGTCAGTGTGAGGAATGTCTGAAGGTCAATCTGAGAAACAGACACAAACTGTATTTTTAGTTTGGACTTCAATTATTGTGGGGAGAAAGAGGAACAATGAGATAACGCATGACAGTCCAGAATCAAACCTGCGTTTAAGTGCATGTGCACTGACCACTGCACCACGGCTCTCTCTCTAACTTTCTGATGATATGTTTACAAGATAAAAGCCAGAACCAAATTTTAGACTCCACAATGTTATCTCTGGCATCTTGCAATACAGGACTTGGCATAATGTGTGAATTGCAGATCTTAGTTTTTGTCTATTCTGAGGGTTTCAGTTCTGTGCTGGAAGTTGCGTCATTGTAACCTTAGGCCAGTTTGACAGCATACATGCCAGCGAGATAGAGCTGTCACACTGACAGTGCTCCACACAGAAAATAAAGTCATCTCTGGGTCACTACGTTGAATATTTATTCTAATAAAAGGAATAAAACTGGAGTTAATCATTAAGAATTGTTACAGACCTGACTGTCCAATATATATGAGAAATGGAAAATTGACATCCAAATTTTTCAGACTCATTAATCTGTGGAACTTGCATCGTCAAATGTGTTTATTCAAAAAATGAGTTAGCTGTTCACTTCAGTATTTCATGTTGCTTCATAAAAGCCTATTTTGCCAAAGTGCATTTTCAACATGTTTTCTACTGAGTTCTGCGCACTAAAACATGTGCAGCTAAAATAGGTTAAGTGCTGAAAGACCTAAGACATAAAAACAACCTCCCAGTGACAGAAATCATCTAAAATCATTCATGTGTTCTCATTTCAAACAGCAACACTAATAGAGAGAGAAGATATTGGCATCTCTGTTTGTACCTCCTGCTGTTGGAAGACGTCGGTATATTTCCCGAGGCCAAGTTTACTGAAGAGCTCAGGCAGATCTGATCCTTTGAAAGATGTGTTGAGATTACAGCCATTAGTTCCCGTCACCGACGAGATACAGTCCATGTAGTTGCTGCTGCTTAGGTAGTGCTCTAATACAAAAAAACATTAAAAACATGGTTACCAGTGTTTATCAGTTTATCAAACTTTACACTTAAACCAGTGAGCTGCCTTCCTAAACAGCATTTTTAAGGCTTCACAGATACTTTGGTGTGGCCAAACTGCATTCATAACCTTGTGAAAAAGAAGTGTACTTATTATTTTTAGATAATAGTGTAATAAAAGTAGTGTTGGTGTGGCCAAACTGCATTCATAACCTTGTGAAAAAGAAGTGTACTTATTATTTTTAGATAATAGTGTAATAAAAGTAGTGTTGGTGTGGCCAAACTGCATTCATAACCTTGTGAAAAAGTAGTGTACTTAATATTTTTAAAAACTGCACTTACAGATATTATAATATTAATTAAATAAAAGGCCGCTTAAGTACTAGAGTACTGTAGAACACACTTAAACATTTAAAAAGTGCACTTTGTAATAATGTCAAATTAAAAGTTTTTTTTAAGTACATTTTAAATAATTGTTTTAGTATTTTTTGTGGTACTTTACAGCACACTCATTTTGATGTGTAGATGACATGAGAAGCACATGTAAAATACTTGATTTCAACTGCATTTTAATTTTATTTTAACTGTAGTGTTGTTTAATATTACATTTAAAGTAAATATATTTTAAATGTACTAAATTGCAACTTCATCATTACAAATGACATGCAAGATTCAATAGAAATTACATAAAACTTTAGTCTACCATATAGTAAATGCTTGTTAGTAGATTTGTCAGTATAATATAAAATATCACAGCTCAGTCATGCTGACTGAAGAGCACACCTGTTTTGTTCTGCTTTCTTTTTGGGCTGATGGGAGAGGGAAAGTCGCTGTGTGCTGGGAGCCCGCTCCCATTCCTTTCCCTCCAGTTATCCGAGTCACTGCCACTCACCCCCTCTCTACTGTTGGAGTGGGACAGGGCTAGAGGCGACCCCTTATCACATATCAAAACACATATCATATTAAGTTTATTCCACTAAAATCATGCAGTGATGCATTAATAAAAAATAAGCATATAGGCATTGCCAGAGCTAATCATCTTCAGTGAGAACACTGCAACACATTATACACACTGAATGCACCGAATGAACTATAATCAGCATACAGCAATTCATAGAAGATATATGCTTAGCCTATCTGCTCGAGCGCTTGAGTTTACCTCATATGTAGTTGACATTGTGGGTTTATAAGATACGTGGTTTGCCCTGCGCAACTCCTTAATAGTTTCTGCAGGCATAGACTTTGAGAAGCCCAGACCGCTCCACGTGTTAGTAGGGGTACGGACCTCCGTCACCACTGGCTTCTTTAACATGGCTGAATAGAGAAACACAGAAGATGATGTATTTAAAAAAAAAGTCAAATAGAGGTCACTTCATTAAGAATAGTCATATTTCACCCCTAAATAGGAAAATAAAAAATAAAAATAAAATTACATTTTAAAACTTATTTTACATTATATTTTATTACATATTTATTTTATATTTATATATTAAAAATACATAATAATAATATATAACAATAATAATAATAGTAATAGTAATAATAATAATAATAATAATAATAATATTATATGTAATGTGCAAAATAAGTCTTAAGTCGCTTGTAGCAATAGCCAAAAAAACACTGTATGGGTCAAAATTATAGATTTTTCTTTTATGCCAAAAATCATTAGGATATTAAGTAAAGATCATGTTCCATGAAGATATTTTGTAAATTTCCTACCGTAAATATATCAACACTTAATTTTTGATTAGTAATATGTATTGCTAAGAACTTCATTTGCACAACTTTAAAGATGATTTTCTCAATATTTTGATTTTTTTGCACTCTCAGATTCCAGATTTTCAAATAGTTGTATCTCGGCCTAATATTGTCCGATCCTAACCAGCCATACGTCAATGGAAAGCTTATTTATTCAGCTTTCAGATGATGTATAAATCACAATTTTGAAAAATTGACACTTAAGACTGGTTTTGTGGTCCAGGGTCACATATAATTAATTATTATATTTATTATGCAATATAATTTTACTTTTTTTACATGTATCTTGTTAATAAAATATATTGTCATGGTATATAACTAAGTACTTTACCAAAAATCTGAATAAATATTTATTACATTAATTTTATTTTTAAAATATATTTCTCTGTTATTTAATTATTAATTTTAATAATATATCATTCTTTTTTCCCATTACAGTAATGAGCATAATTTTGTTGTTGTTGTTGTTGGAGGAGGAATTGTGAAGTAATTGTCATGCAAATAATATCACAGCGCAAAATATGTAAATAGTCCTAAAACAGCTCAATTGAATTAATATACTCACAAAATAAACTCACACATTTTTTTTGCTGTCAATTTATGACGAAACATGACCCGCCTGGTATTCAATAACATGAATGTTATTGGTAGATTTTGTGAGGTGTAGGAATCAGGAATTATAATTAGTTGATCAAGAATTTGATGCCAAATTCCCCTGCACTGTGCTAAATCGGTCAAAACCCAGAAGTTTTACAATAAAACAGTGTGCCACATTTCCATACAGTTCCAACATAAATCATTAACGCAGAACTATTTACAGTATGCGGGCAAGAAGAGTGTTAACACTGGGTACATTCCTCATTCTCAGGTCCTTAGTTTACATTATGAACGCTGGACACAGGACGTGAGGTGTGGAGAAGCTTTATGAGGCAGAGTATATTTAACGTAAACGTGAAACAGGACTTTAAGGACACCCTACTCACTGCCAGACATTCAGCCTATGAAGACACTGTAGTCCTGCTTTGTTCATTGCTGGCACACTAGACTAAACACAACCGGTTTCCAATTCCCCCAACAGCCTACCAGCAGAATTGTTTTTGACAATATAGATGGGTGGGAGACACTCTTTAAGGCTCTGTATATAGCTTTAACTGTGATTTGATTTGTCAAGCACATACCTTTGGTTGCCAATAACTTCTTTTGCTCATAGTCGAACGCCTGTAGAGGTGAACAGAGAGAAAGTAAAGAATGTTTAGGCTGTTGGAAAGGATTTAAGAATTATGTCCCTCATTTCTCCTGTCAGCTTGGTTTATAGAATGAGAAAGGCAAATGGTAAACATTGCCTCATTCGGTCAAAACCATTTAACAGACTGTTACGAACAGAATAGTGACGACCTTCTGTTGTTTCAGAAACATGGCATTGTCTTGAGAGGCAGGGCTTGAGATCACAACACAGACGGAACATATAGTACCTGTCAAAAATTTGGAATAAGTTATTTTTTTATATATATATATATATATATATATTTGAAAGAAGTCTCTTATCCATACCAAGGCTGCATTTATTTGATCATAAACAGTAAAAATTATAATATTTTGAAATATTATTCCATCTTAAAATGTTTTCTATTGTAATATATTTTAGCAGCAGATCTATTCCGCCAAGATTAACATTATTAACATTGTCATATCCATCACCATGCTAAAATGTTCCGAGAGTTGTCATGATTGAAATATAATTTATTCCTGGAAACCATGAAACACTACCATTCAAAAGTTTGGGATAAGTAAGAAAAAAAAAAAAAATGTCACAAGGATGCATTAAATTGATCAAAAGTACAGTAAAGATATTTATAATGTTACAAAAGTTCAATTAAATGCTGTACCTTAAAACTTTATTCATCGCAGAATCCTGAAAAAAAAGTGTCATGGTTTCCCACAAAAAATATTAAGCAGCAAAAACAGTTTTCAGCATTGATAATAATAAGAACCATTATAAATAATTGATTGTGAGTAATTATTAATAATAACTAAGCAGCAAATCAGCATATTAGAATGACTTCTGAAGGATCATGTGACACTGAAGACTTGAGTAATGATGCTGAAAAATCAGCTTTGCATCACAGGAATAAATTACATTTTAAAATATAAAAAAAATAGAAACCAGTTCTTTTAAATTGTAATACTATTTCACAATATTATTGTTTTTGATCAAATAAATGCAGCCTTGGTGAGCATAAGAGACTTCATTTGAAAAACATTAAGAATTTTAATTATTCCAAACTTTTGACAGGTAGTATATTATTTCAATAAGGGATGTTACTGAAACGATGAAAGCTAATTGAGATATTGATGGCTGCTCTATTCATTCGATAATTGTCTTTGGAACTAAGGGAAGCACTATGACTGAGTTTATAAGTAACTTTAAGAATTCACTACCTGCATGTTGGAGAAGGAGGATTGGTGCGGCAGGCGGATTCTGTCTGAATTCTGCTGAGCGGCCCGTTCGGCTGCTCTTTCACTGCCTGGAGCGCGTTTATCAGCCACCGGACTCTCCGAGGCACTGGAGTCAGAGTCTGACAACAGACAGTCTGAACTAGACAGGTAAAAGAGTAGATAAATAGAACAACTAGGTTTAATCACATGCTGCATTAGTGGCTAACTCTAACATCGACTAGTGATTGACTGTTGAGGGATTGTGTGTGTGTTCATACTGTAGGAGGGAGTTCTTGGTGCCCTGAAGCAGCTCCAGGGCTTGCCTCTTTCCTGATGTCGTCTTACAAGATGCCAACATCTGCTTCAGTTCATTGCTGTTTCCCGAGTGAGAGGGGCTTCGAGGCATGCCCACCTCCACGAACGTATCCGATCCTGAAACACACACACGTACACATAAACGAAACAGTGTTATTCTTTCCTCAAGCCCCCATATTGAACGCTTTAGTTGAGTAGTTTGAGATTGTATTCCTGCAGCACTCAGCATCAGAGAATCTAACACGAGATTGAATTGACTTCGCTGAAAGCATCTGAAAGCAAAACCAGACTGACTAAATGGATGTTAGGCCAACTCAAACAGCTTTAACAATGCTGGAGCACGGAAAACCTTGGCCTTGTATTTCCACAGATGCCCCGTTCAGAGAGCAAGAAGGAAAGGTATAATAATTTGGAACTGAGTTTATATTTATCCATAATTAGACTGACCAAAGTCAATAAATTCTCGCTTTCAATCTAGAGAAGGTCGAGGAGTTGTTTCAAGTGCTAATCAAACGGTTGACATAATTCAGCGGTGAATGTCACTGGTTGCATTAGGCTGCAATAAAGAGAGTATAATATATCTTTCAATTAATGTAGCCTTGGAAAGTGACATGCATGAAATGTTGATTCACACGGCAGACATCGCAGTACAAATTAAGCTTGCTGGCATTTACCAGATAAAATTACTGAATTCTGACATATGTCAGGGATCAGTCTTGCAGAATATGCCATCACACTTGACTGACTGTAAAGTTTTTTTTTGTTGTTTTTTTGCAAAAAAAGAATTGCAAAAAAAGAATAAAATTAATAAATAAAATGTTTATTTGATCAGAAATACAGTAAAAACAATACTATTGTGAAATATTACGATTTAAATAAGATTTTTTAAACTGATTTAACTGATTCTTTGATAAATAGAAAGCTCAAAAGAATATTTATTCTAATTTATTTGAAATATAAATCTTTTTTAACATTATAAATGTCTTTACTGTCACTTTTATCCATTTGATGTGTGCTTGCTAAATAAATTATTAATAACAAAAAAACTGGTAGTGTGTATATGTATAAAAAATCTTGGTAGTGTGTATATGTATAACAATTGAAAATTATTAATATTAATGTCTTACAATTAGTTTATTTTTCTGATCCCATTGGAAACGTTTTATTTTATATTAAGCATTTTTTTTTTTACTAAGAAAAAAGAAAATTACTTGTCAAGAAATTGATTTTTGCAGTGCAGAGAAATGCGTCTTGTAGTGAGGATATAATGAGGAGCTGTGGATAATGCAGACCTTGGTCTTGGCTGGCTTTGCTGGACAGCGGTTCAGAAGGGCAGTGGGGACTGGCTTCCTGTACAGAGTCACCATGAGCTGCGGTCAGAACTTTATCTGCCAGAGACGCTGCAGACATTCTGCTGTACATGGTCCTGGGCTGCTACACAACACACATGCACACAATATTCTGGTCAAGAGGAAGTCAAAGAAGACTAACCATGAGATATATACACAACATTAGCATAATTATATGACATTTTTAACATAACTGTATATCATCTCATGATGGTGAAAGAATACTTGCTCACTTTGCTACTAAGGGAGCACACAGCTTTACTGCAGTCTGATACTCTGTTGACTTGGGCATCTATGGGGGCAAGACCAGGCGGAGGGGACGGAGTGTTCTGGGTGTAGCCTGGCACCCCTGACAGCAAGATGCTGGTTAGAGTTGCCTGGGTGGCTGGGTGGATCATCAAGGGCGATGAGAAACCTAAGAAAAAAAATTGTTTAGTTTGAAAGACCTTTTACTATTGTATAATAAAATTCTAACATTAAATATAATATATAATACAATATAATATAATAATGGACTGTGTTCTAAAAAACAACGTGAATGTAAAGTGGACTGAGACTCTAGAGAAACATTCCTATTATATAATAAAATTCCAACATTAAAAATAAAATAAAATAGAATGGGTTCTAAATTACAATGTGAATGTAAAGTGGACTGAGACCCTATCACAACTAAAGTAATCCACTTTCAAGTTCAGGTACATTGTTGTTTTATTTCAAGATAATGTAAGTGTGAACATGAGATGATGAATCCATACAAAGTGTGTTTGTTTGTGGAGGAAGTCTGTCAGTCTTCTCCTTACTTGGAGTGCTGGCAGGACTGGCCAGTGAGTTGGGCCACAGATTGGGGCAGGGTGTTCCAGAGGTGGATGTATGTAATGGGCTGATGGAGCTGTTGAGAGCGTTGAGAAGGGAGTTGGTGGAAGGTAGTGTCATGGAGGTTGCCGTAGGTCCCAGAAGACCTACAGGTCAGACAAAAAATATGAGACAATATTACACAATTATTACACAAATATTACACAACCATAAACACAATTTCAACATAAGACATATCCTGAACACATAAAGAAATAGTTCAGAAATGAAAATCTGCAGCAAATCTACTTACTCTTAGGCTGTCTAAGATGAATGGGAGTTTTTTTCTTAATCAGAACAGTTTTTGAAAAATTCAGCATTACATCACCTGCTTAGCAATGGATCCAGCAGCAGTGAATGGGTGCCGTCAGAATTAGAGTCCAAACAGTTGATTTATTACAAACATGCAGCTTTTCACTTCACAAGATGTTAATTGATGGACTGGAGTGGTGTGGATTACTTGTGGATTATTGTGGTGTTTTTATCAGCTGTTTGGACTCTCATTCCGACGGCACCCATTCACTGCAGAAGATCCATTGGTGAGCAAGTGATGGAATGCTACATTTCTCCAAATCTGATCAGATGAAGAAACAAACCCATCTACATCTCGGACGGCCTGAGGGTGAGCAAAGTTTCATTTTTGAAAGCACTTACTGTGCAAGAAGTACATCTCATTCAGCTGTTCAGGTAATGTAGTGTTAATTTTGCAAACAAATTTTAACCTAATTTTAGTGATTTAGACTTCTGACTAAATTCTTTTAATTTTAGGCACATTTTAGCAGGGAGACAGAAATAATAATTGATTTAGTCCCCCTACTTTTTTTTCTTTTTTTTTTTTTCTTTGGTGCAAAGATGTAAAACTACAACTTCAGAACCATGCAGAAGTCTAAGCCAACTGGTTTAGTCGGCAGAACAAGCAATAGCATAGTAAGTGGAAGTGGTAATCATGTTATGCTTTGCACCCACTTACATGCCTTTCAGCAAAACATTTAGGACTACTGGGAGTATCTTGCATAACCTCATTAATATTCACAAGTCAAGCTGACAATAATGTCCCCCTCACTTTTTGTATTGTTCCCACACCCCTGCATTTTAGACTTTTGAATACAGTTTCAGTCCAAAAAATAAAAAATAAATGTACTCTTTTGTTACCCAGGCTGGTGAGGCCGAGGCCGGCAGAGGCCAGGATGTCGAGGCCAACAGGGAAGCTGAGAGGTGGAGGTGGAGCAGGGCCAGATGGAGGACTGCTGCTGTTACTGCTGGTAGGGACTGATACGCCACTGCTCTCCAAACCCAACAGATAACGCCTGGCCTCATACATGTTCAGAGCGTTCCTCTCCACACTCTTCACTATCACTGACTGACAGCCCAGACAAAAGAGATTTACAGTTTAGAAATCAGCTCCTGTCCACTAGTAGGTGCTATATTTTATTAGTACTGTGTTTGTTCGGTGTCATTCAAAAAATAACAACAGCTGAAGTTGTTTCAACAACAATAGAATAATTAGTTCACACCAAAGACTATAACTTTAACGATAACAATAATGATAAAGTTGTAAAAATCGTTCTCAATTTAAACTATATCGATAGTGCGCAGATACGGCGCAGATGGACAATGTTGTTGGAATCAGTTTCAAAGTGATTTTTTTTCCACTCTTCTAGGGTTGGCATAATCAGTATTTTTTGCCTTTGTAGTGCAGAATGGCACCATTATGAATATAATGTACTTGGTGTTTCCTTTTAAAGGGAGTTTTTTTATTATTATTAATTTGACCACTTATTGTGGATGTTAAAGGATCTGCAGAGTAGAAGGTGCTACACACAGCAAGAAACTTTACCATACTTTACTTTTATCATTAAGTTATTTTATTGACTGGGAGTTTCTGCTGCTTAGATTCAATAGATGGTCTTTTTTTTTTCAATAGAAAGTAAATTCTGATTTCAGTATGTTTTAAAGTTACTGTATGTTTTCAGTTAACATCAAGTTCTTTTATTTCAAAAGATCAATGGAAATTTTACTTCTCATTATCCCTTTAATTCATGGAATATGAGTTTGAGGTCGTAAAGATCTATTAGTGGTGAACTTGCTGAACTAAAATGAATCTGAGAGTGGAGATTTTCTGTGGCTGTACTTAAATTCTACATGTCCTCGTATTTCCCTCTCAATTGGTAGTTTGTACAGTACTTCCTTCTTAGCATATGTGCTGTATATACTAGTCAAGGCTACTACTGTAGCAAACTATTAGCAGAGTGAAAGAAGAGAAGCCAGAGGCATCAACACAAATCACTGAAATGAAAAAAACAGAGGTTTATACTAAGACTGATAATTTACAGTGCTGCCATTCAGCCTAAAACACAGGATAGGATTTCACTCTTGACCATGACCAAGGACGTGAAGCATTCCCAGTTTCCACATACTGCTAGTAAGCCACCCGCAAATCCTATACGTTCCATACATTACTTTTACAAGACTAGGCATCTTAATTTTAAGCCTCTGAAAGAACTAGGCCTTAATGCTTGATCTGAGGATTCAAGGTGTCTTACAGGGTACCATCAAAAATCTGGACACTTAATCCACACTTAAAAATGTACGAATGCACTTATATTACACTACCGGGACTACTGGGGTCGGTAAATTTTGTAATGTTTTTGAAAGTCTCTTATGCTCACCAAAGCTGCATTTATATGATCAGAAATATAGTAAAAATAGTAATATTGTGAAACATTACAACTTAAAACATTTTTCTATATGAATATATTTTAAAATGTAATTTATTATGTAATGTAATTCCATTACTCTAGTCTTCAGTGTCACATGATCCTTCAGAAACGATTCTGATCATTTCTTATTATCATCAGTGTTGAATATGCTACTTCATAGTTCTGTGGAAACTGTGATACAAGATTCTTTGATGAATAGAAAGTTCAAAAGCAGCAATTATTTGAAATATATACAAGCAACATTTTCAAAAATATATGTACACTGTAAAAATGATTGTGATTTTAATGATAAAAGACTAAAATGTTATGATAAAAACCTGTACATTTGTTAATAATAAGTTTCCTTTATCTGGTGAATAACTATTTAACTGTAATAGATCTAACCTTACATTTAATAGAATTTTACAGTAAAATACTGTTACATTCACAGATTTTGGAAGTGAAAAAGAACAGATATCATATAATTTACAGTGAAAAACCATAAATTGACATTACAATGTTTCTCCTGCATGACACTTCACATTTGATGTTTTTTTTTAAATAACTCTATTTTTTAGTTTTTTCTTATCAGTTAGTTACATTATGTTTTATGTTACATCTACCTATATATATATATATATATATGTGTATTCAAACACACACTTAATATTTTGTTATAAATGTTACATATTTTTTGTAAAGGTCTGGCAACCACAGCTGCCGTTAGTTTATCGTGAATTTCACCTTGAACTTGAGGAGAACTGACTTCATGCATCCACTAAAAATCCCCTTGCAAAAATGTCTCAAAAAACATAAAGTAAGTTCTGAGAAAAGCTCAGAGTGTGACATCCAAAAGTATCCACCACCATATGCGATAAATGTTGCATATGTACTGTAAGGTTGGGTTTAGGTCATGTACATATCTTTGAGTTTGCGGCTGTGAGTGTGCAAACCTTGCTAGGTTGCTTGGGTTTGGGTTTGACACTAATGAACACATCAAGCTGTTCCGTTAGGGAAGTAATGCACTGCGGTTCCACCTCGATGTCCTCTTTGATATCAAACATCAGCACCAGTGGCAGGCAGCCCTGCAGAAAGCACAAGGAAGAAAGCGAGAGAAAGAAATAAACAAAGTTTTTCTACACCGTTGTAAATCATTCATACAGTCGAACTTTAAGTGTTTCAAGGACTCTGTTGGCCTCGGTCCTAAAGCAGCTAAGCTACAGTTATTCAGCAGTGATCCATCACCTTCTTCTCATGTTGAAAAGAAAAACAGCAGCAGGTACTCCAGGCGTAAGGCTTTCATTTTACTGGGCCTTGACCTTCTTTTTCCTCTCCCTACACAGCTAACTCAGCAGACAGTGAAAAAACCGCTACATATGCAGGAAAAGTTCTAGAGCCTATTTGTGTGGTGGGAAGCCTGCTATGACAGTCATAATTGTGAATGCTAAAAATGTCCTTAATGGATCTAAATTGAGCCAGAAAACTGTGAATAAATTATTCTTGAGTGCTGTGTCTCCCCTCGGCCTCCAGCTGAGTGTTTAAATCAGGACTTGCGGGGACAGACAGGTTGATATCGGTCTCCAGAGAGAACCGCAGTGTGGTGGAGGGCTAAATATTTTGCTTTCAGAGCGAGGAAATGCTGTCCACACAGGAGCCCTTCCTGGGCTGACCTCGGAAACAGGAGCCCTCCCTGGGCTAAACGGGGAAACACAAACGCGAGGAAAAAGTCGCCGCTCACTTTCGGTTTTGTTCCGCTGTTCTGTCACGGTGCACACACACGAGGAACGAGGAGACGCTGGAGAATACTTTACCAAGACTTTATTTACAGGAACCAAGGGAGATGAACTCAGGAAGACGTTTAACAGCGGACAGAGAACTTGGGACTGGGAACACTATTTATACACACAGGAGGAGGGGATGACGAGACACACCTGGGAGCAATGAAACATCAAGTAATCAGGGGAGGAACAGGAAACTAACCAAATAAGGGCATGGGAAGGCACATGGGGAGCAGGACACACACAAAACATGGAACAGAGTCTGACACCACTTGTGTGTTCCTCAAGAGAATCGTGTTTTTCTTCTGGTGCCCCTGCCTTTGTCAGTTTAATGTTCTTCTGTGTTGGTTGGAGACCATTAATTTGAAAAGGACCACTACATAATGAGACAAACCAGAGTTGCTATTTGTAATGGTTTGAGGGAAGATGAGATGAGATTAGATGAGAGTAGAGAGAAACTAAAGCTTCACATTTTCTGAAGAAAATCATGCAAAATTCAGCTTGATAACATTTGTAATAAATTCTAAGGTGTTCTGGGTTGTTGTTAAGGTTTACTTTGCGGTTGCTAAGTAGTTAGGTGGCTATTTACTGGAAAACAAAACTAAAAAAACTAAAAATTTTTAACAGTAGTTTTCATTTCATAAAAAAAAGAAACCAAAAAAATCAACTTTAATAATCAACACTCAAATAAAAACAAAAAAGTTGTATATATATATTATATTGTTTACAAGCTGTAAATTAATTTGATCAATATTTTGGCCCTGTACATTTGTTTTGTTAGAAACCGAAAATTTTATTTTTGGCCAAATATTTTTGGTTGCAAAAATTTCAGTGCATTGGTATCAATTCTCATAAAAAATGTCAAATTATCTGATATTTTAAGATATTTATTGACTTTCACACAAAGTCATGAGGGTCTGCAGGGGTCCTCTCTATGATATCATTCCTATTTTTTATTTGATTTTTTTTTAATTGATAAATCAGGACAAACAAAATAAGCATTATGTCATTGACCCTATTACTGGAAAACAAGAGTAGAACAGTAAAAAGAAAATGAGTCACTGCGCTGCAAGTGTGGAATTTTTTCACCCATTTTTTGCCCAACAAGTCTGAATGCTTAGAAAAAATCGTACACTGTTCCTCAACAAGGTGCATGATTTGGGGCATCATTCATGTCAGTAGCACAAATGCTGTGGGATGAGAAATAAAGAACAAAAAAATCTCTCACCATCAGGTACTGGCGAGCCAGACACACAGAGTCAATGTTTCCCTGCACGTAGACGGTGGATTTCTTCTGCGGGCAGTTTGGGTCTGGGAAGTGGACCTGCGCTCCTGTGCGCTGCATGATGTGCTTGATGTTGCTGCCGTTGCGGCCCATCATGAAGAGGTGGTGCTGGGGCGCGATGTCAAGCTGTGTGCTGACTGTGATGGCGCTGGCCAGGCTGCCCGCGAGATGCTCCAGTAACACTGCTGTGCCCCTCTGCAACGAAGCCAGGGTTGGAAATTAATGGGGACATAAGGCAAAAATGCCACCGAAATTAACAAAACTGAATCCAAATTTCAAGGTAAGGGGGAAAAAAGGCCCTCCACAATTAAGCTTAATCTATTACAACTGTCACAATTAAAATTTGAAAATGAATAAAAAGTGTTGACTGCAGCATTTTGAGTAAGTGTTTTGTATGGAAGCCCCTTTCTGCCATGGGATAAAAAATAAAAAAAAGATATTCAGATATTTTTTATTCTCCCAATATTGGACTTTCTCTGAATTGTGAGTTTACATCTCGCAATTCTGATTTTTCTTATAATTGTGAGTTTACATCTCACACTCTATATGTCGCAATTTTGAGTTTACATAACGCAATTCTTTTTGGACTTTTTTTTAGAATTGCAATTGCAAGTTTATAGACTATTATGGAAGCTTGTTTCCACCACTGAATAAAAAATAAAATGGTAATTCCGACTTTTCACAATTCAGAATTTTTTCTTGCAATTGCAAGTTTACATCTCAGTTATAATGCCAGAATTGTGAGTTTACTTTTTTTTTAAAATCAGAATTGGACTTTATAACTTGCAATTCTGACATTATTTCTTGCAATTGCGAGTTTATATCCTGCAATTCTGACTTTATAACTCGCAATTGCGAGAACTGCGAGATGATAAAAAGTTGCAATTATTCATTCGTTTTTTACATTTCATTTATTTTTCTCAGAATTGCGAGATATAAATGCGCAAATGTGAGTTTATAAGTTGAAATTGTCAGATACAACGTTGCAATTCTGAGAAAAAAAAGTCATATTGTAAGATGTTATCATTTATTGTAAATTTTAAGATGAATTGTAAGATGTTAACTCACAATTGCAAGTTTATAACTTAAAATTGCAAGATATAAACTCACAATTCTGAGATGACAAGTGAATTTGTGAGATGTCAGCACATAATTGCGAGAAAGAAAGTGACTTTTGAGATAAAAGGTTACAATTACCTTTTTAATTTTTTTTTATCCAGTGGCAGAAACAAGCTTCCATAGTTTTGTTTTTATGCTATTAAGATGTTAAGGTTTGATTTTATAATCCATAATGCCATGTCAGATGCAGCTTCTGTGTAAAGATGAATTTTGTTGATAAAATTTTATTGGTAACAGTCTATAGTTTTCTTATTGATGGAAGTAATTGTAATAGTAAAGTATTTGACATAAAAGACATTTAATAAGTTAATTATAAAAATTGCCCTTACAAAGGTAAAAAAAAAAAAAAAGAAAGAATAGTTTTTCACACTAATGGAGCATATTTTAGTAAACAAGAACCTCTTTATGTTCTTGTTTTTCCATCTGGCATATACAAACCTGAGAATGACCTAGATTGGAGAGTTTCTTTCAGCACGCCATAAAACTAGGGGAAGAGAGGAAAGGCAAAGGGGCTCTTTTGGGGTTCCTTTCTGGCCGTGTTCGTAGGCGGTTTTGGCACAGAACTCCTCACTCCAGCTCTTAACACATACCAGGCATAGCCAGCAGCCCACAGAACAACTAAAGCCCCATACCCTTCCTCAAGACCAGAGATGGAAGAAGATTCTCCTTGGGAAGAATAGCAGGCTCTTCCCACACCCTCAGTCTAAAGTGTTGCCGGCAGTCATTAGCACAACATGAAGAGTTCAGCGCCACCGGCAAACACCACAGACACACAGAGATCAAAGGTTGTGTAGGTGTGTGCTGGAGGATTTACTGTGATCTTTTCTGGAGCTAATGAGGATGTTCCCTTTAGGAGATGAAAATGCTTTGCAAACATTATACCCCATAGGAATATTCCTTTAAAATTTAAGGTTTTATGAAGGTAAATTTAAGACTTTTTAAAGACCTTGCATTGCATTATTACAAGAGTTGCGTTAGCAATACTTCAAAATTTCAAAATACAACTTTGTGCTGATCTCTTTAATTATGCAATTAAAAATTAATGGAGAATTAATGGAATAACTGGTTTAATTGAACAAAATGAAGTGAGTTTATGATAAAAAACAACAACAAATATCCACAAATGGACTTTACAGATATTTGTTCTTGTTTACAAAAAAACCCCAAAACAAACAAACACATACAATTTTGACTTCATATCTTCATTTTGCATCTAAAGTAAATGTATCTTAATTTAAGGACGTTTAGATATTTGTACTGGAAAACAAGACAAAAATACGGAGGAAGATATACATTTTTAGCAATGCATGCAACATTTTATGCCCTTTTTAAAACCTTTTTTAAGTCTTATTTTGTGGAACCTTGAAATGAGACTTTTAGGCCCTCAGAAACCCTTATATTTTTCTCATAGAAATCAATCTGCTTCTCAGATTTTTGTCCTGAGAAAAAAAACTAGTAATCTCACACGTATCCCAAATAAGATATCACAACGTCACACACAAAACAAGCAACAACAAAAACTTTACAAAATATCAATAATCAACACTTTCACAAATGTGATCCTGGAGCACAAAACCAGTCTTAAGTCGCTGGGGTATATTTGTAGCAATAGCCAAAAATACATTGTATGTAATCAAAAAATCATTAGTATATTAAGTAAAGATCATGTTCCATGAATATATTTTGAAAATGTCCTACTGTAAATATATTAAAACTTCATTTTTGATTAGTAATAGGCATTGATAAGGACTTCATTTGGACAACTTTAAAGGCGATTTTCTCAATATTTAGATTTTTTTGCACCCTCAGATTCCAGATTTTCAAATAGTTGTTATCCTAACAATCCATATATCAATGGAAAGCTTATTTATTCAGCTTTCAGATGATGTATAAATCTCAATTTCGATAAATTGACCCTTATGACTGGTTTTGTGGTCCAGGGTCACATATCTTAGATACCACAGCACATACAGTATATCCCAACTTTAAAGTATTATAAAATTTTCACAACCCTCCTAATGTATGCAATATTCAAAGACTCCATATACTGTGCCACTGTTTTAACAATAAGTCCTGTGATTTCTTCCTTTGCTGAGAAATCTTTTATTTTCCACTACATTAAGCCATGCAAGATTGTCCTGTAAGATTACAGCAGATATATCAATCAATAACACAATGTTAGGTTTACATTAGAAAACTTAACATTGCAAATGCAAAAATGCAAATGAGATCTGAGAGCTGCAGTGGATGGAAAGATGTTATTAGTGAAGTTGATTCTTAAATGATAGTTAATATTTAAATGACTGAGAACATTAATTCTATAAAAACCTAAAAAAACAACAACAACAAACAAACAAAATACCTCCCAAAAAAACACAATGCAATGAAATATAATAAATTCAGAAAGTGATGTGTATAATATAGGAAAAAAACAAACTGCAACTGGAGAATTTGCCCCATATATGTGTTTATGAATGTCTCACCTTCACGGCCGCAGCATTATTCTGTGAGCCCCGCACCACTCCTGTCGCTCCATAGAGTCTGGACCTCTGTTTGAAGGCCACAGAGATGTTGTATGTCTGGGAGATGTGCTGGATGGCAGGAGAACTGGGGTCAGGGTTCAGCTGCACTATGACTGGCAGCTCGAACATCAACACCAGCGGGAGCAGCTCCTGAAAGAAGACCAACAGACCCATCAGTTAATGTAATCTAAATGATCAGTGCTGAATTATATTCATTAGATTGATATCAGTTTTGTGATTTCTGCTGGTGGCAGGTAAGGATTATGGTTAATTCATCAACAGACCCAATCTGGTTCAAATGGCAATTTCTTTTTTGGGGGGCTTTTGAAACATTTTAATACAAAGAGACAGAATAGAGTAAACAGGAAACTATGGGGAAGACAGGAGGACTGGGCAGGAACAGATTCAAACCCATGTCTCCCACATGAGCAACAGCCCAAGATATTCCTTGTGAAAAAAATAATTGCATTGAATGCACACGTGTCAAATCCTAAAAGTATTTTTTTTTAATTCTCTGCAGTGAATGGGTGCCGTCAGAATGAGAGTCCAAATAGCTGATAAAAACATCACAATAATCCACAAGTAATCCACACCACTCAAGTCGACATCATTTGACATCTTGTGAAGTGAAAAGCTGCATGTCTGGATGAACAAATTCATCAAGATTTTTTTGGCTTCAAACCGCTAAAATCCTCTATCCATAATGAAGCACCAATTATAAGAAATAATAACAATAAATAAAAACAGTTGTAAACAAATATGTCAGTGGATTTTGATGTGAGAGGACAATAGGGGATGGCCTTTTTCCACTGGAGGAAGCATTATTATGGATATTATGTATGGACTCATGTTTTGGCCAGAAGTGATGGTTTAGAGTTAAAACACCTTGATGGATTTTTTTCTTTTGATTTTTTGGACTCTCAGTCTGACGGCACCCACTCACTGCAGAGGATCCATTGCTGAGCAAGTGATGTAATTTGTAATAAATTTCTCCAAATCTGTTCTGGTGAAGAAACAAACTCTACACCTAGGATGGCCTAGGGTGAGTACATTTTCAGCAAATTTTCATTTTTGGTTGAAGGCTTCAAGAATCAACTCCTTCTTAGCTGTGAGCAGGAACGCATTTTTGGGACTATAACCACAGCTGAGAAAGAGATAGACTGTAACTGATGCACACAGTCTACAATCAGTTGTGCGCATAATGATTTTGACAATATTAAACAAGAAACTCAAGTTTTTAAATGTGCACAGGGCGACAAGACAGTGTGCGCTTGGCTTTAAAATGTAAACAACATGGTTTGCTCTGAATGAATGCTGGTAAAAATTACAGTTACTGCTAGCAGGGCATTTGGCCAACTTTCAAGCCATGAAGTCTTTAGAAACAAAGCGGAATAAGCATATATTTCCCATCATTCTCCTGTGATTTAGGGTCATCAAAAGCCCAGCAAACAGTGCCTTACCAAACTGAATTGGTAAACAGAATGAATGGCCAAGCCTTAAAAATGCGGCTCTGATCAGTCCCATATGCTTTGGGGGCTCCAGTCACCCTCATGTTCTGTACCGGGGGCCAAAATGAAAGACATTCTCTGCCCCTTTAGATGTGGTCGGGACAGTGACTCTCCCTTTAGACAAGGAGATGTTTATTAGGTTCAACTTTAGCTGGGAGCAGGGTATAACCTACTTCAAATGAAAATATTGTCATTGCTTACTCACCCTCATGTCATTCCAAACAGTTGATGGTAGCCATTGACTTCCATAATATATATATATTTTTCCATTTCCGTTTGGTTACCCATGTTCTTCAAAATATCTTCTTCTGTGTTTAGCAGAAAAAAGAAACTCATACAGGTTTGGAATGACATGAGGGTGACTAAATGATGACAGAATTGTCATTTTTGGGTGAACTATGCCTTTAAGTTTGGAATAATATTTTATTATCATTTCTTAGAGGGAAAAAAAACTTTTCATGACAAGACAAGGTTAGTTCAAGTTGTAAAATGTAATGCAATTCCCCAAAATGTAGGAATTTTTATAATAATTAATAATAATTTATGCATTTAGCAGACACTTTTATCCAAAGCGACTTACAGTGCATTCAGGCTATACATTTTTTACCAGTATGTGTGTTCCCTGGTAATCGAACCCACGACCTTTTGCACTGCTAATGCAATGCTCTACCACTGAGCCACAGGAACATTAATATTAAC